TATAGCCCCGGATATCCGCATTCCTTCCTCTCACTGGTGGGAAACACATCCGCCGCTCGCTCTACCCAATCACTCTTCACCGGTTGTTTCTGTGGACGCTTGTTGCAGTGCTTCGGTTGTTCGCTTCTCGGGCAGAGAACACACTTTGTCCTCTTCAAACGTTCCAGGCATACAACCGCCCAGACGGTTGAGGACCGTGCCGAGAGGAGCGAATGTGGCACCCGGGATTTCTTTGGTCGGTGGTTGAATCGGGCTACCCAAGGGCCAAGCAACTGTCTGACCATTCACGAGTGGTTCAACAAAGAAACCCGACCAAGGATCATCAACACCGATCGATACTGCACGAAAAGGGCGGATTCAGAGGGAAAATGGAAATGAGGGATGTTTCGTGGTGGGGGAGTAATGACGTTACCTGGACAATTAAAAATCAAAGTTGAAGAAACAGGTAAATTCCAAACAATGTATAACGAATCTTAGAAGGTGATACAATTTTGTGTCAACGAAAACAATTGTGTGTAAACCTTAATACGGTTTTTTATTTGAGGATCTAAATAAGTTTGGTGCGGGTTAGGGTAATTGAATTTATATTTTCATTGAATCAATTGGCTGAAACTGGCAAGGTACTAACAACTCTCAAGAGAGTCGAGCAAAAAATAGGGCAGGGGGTAGGTGTGTTTCCGTACTTTCCGTACGTGTTGTGAGTTGCTGCACTCCTCGAGCACTATGGATAAAGTACGAGGTTGACCTCATAAGGCGCCTTCGACAGAATCGTCCAACTCACAAGGCAGTGAGGAACTACCTCGAGTCGGCAATCCATTGAAGGCCGGCGTCGCGTGCATCGAATAGGGCACCCACAATGAACTACACTGTCCAATCTAGCCATTGACCACACTTCCAGCATTTCTGGCGACCTTTTCGTATACCTTATCATGGACGATTTGAACTCAGGGCATGGTAACCCTGTTACACGAGGTAACTGAAGGTGACTCATTAACGCGTAAATCGCACGGCTTCGCTGATTCACCGATTCGACGTCCGTCGATGAGCTCGACAACATGCCCGACTGAGGTCAGTCGGAAGGTAGAAAAAACGTGTGATTGATTGACCAATGAGGTGCGCTGAACACAAACGGATCCAACCATAACGTTTATTTTTCAAGTCAATGTTATGGTTTCACAAGTCCACGATAGGTCTTCAGATCAATCTTAGAATGGTATAGTCGCGTCTGTCAGACTCGTGTGTCAACGATCCATCCGATTCCCTTAGACAGATGTGTCCACCGGTGAAGGATAGGCGAGCCCACTTCGGCAGCTCTGGTGTGACTAGATTTCGGTGTGTTCATCGCAATCAGTAACGTCGACATTGAACGACTTCGGCGGGTGAATTGGATGTTAGAAGCTTGCGTGAATTCGGAGATCATTGGGAGTCACCCCATTCGGGTGGGTAAACAGCTCCCAATCCATATGACTAGAATGGATTTGTACCTATACGCGTGCACTGTTGGCACTTCGGGCCGCAATTAGCTCGAATGATCTTGACCTGTTCGCCACACAATATGGTGCGAAACGCTTTCGATCAGCTGATGAATCACATGATCTGCGGGCGTCCATTCTCAGACACACCGTAGATGGTAGTAGTCGATGAGATGCGGATTAATTGTCAAAGCCGAAACCGGAGTGAAAAATAATCAGTAGCCAGCACACGACCGCAATGGGGTTTTACATTTACAACCGGAAGACAGATGGGAGTTGAGTGGGCAGAGCACCACAGGAACAAGCAACACCTCGAGCGACAGGCTGGAGCTTTCCGCATCATGTGTGTGTGAAACCGTAGGTGCGAATGCGTCGGTCATACTGTAGTAAGTGAGAATAGTTCGATTTTCTATCGCAGCAACACTTTCGACGTGGCACAACTTGTTTCATTTCAGTAATCTGAAATCCTAATAACGAGCCCTCCGTTCGTAAGGAGAGAGAGCAACCATAGGTGTTGCAACTCAGTTCAGTGCTAAAGGGACGCTATGGACAGGCGCGTTCGACGATTTGTCTAGCATATAATGATACTTTTCTATGTATTTCAATAACAAAAAGAACAGTGATTTCAGCGACAGTTGGACCCATACAGTTACTGGGACAGATTGGTGATTGTGAAATGTACACATTTGGCTAGCCATGAACTGATGGACGCTAAATGATTCCCAGAAAATTCTGGTGTTGGTTATCCATTACAGTGCACGCTGTACGAAAGGAAGGGATAAGTCCGTTTATGGGTTTACACACACACAAACACAATGGGTTTTCCGATCTTTCTGCTTACCGGTTTCGTCGGAAAAAGGAACAATAGTTCAGACAAATTGACAAAAGATGAAAAAATGAGTAAGTCCAACATCCGACGAAGTAGAGATACTGCAGCCAGTGCACCCTGAGTAGGTCATCGGAGAACTGTAAGCCACATCTGTTTTCTTTCAAAAAAAGTAAACAAACTATAAATCGTGCTTAACCTTTGTTATGGTGCTTCACACTGCTTGTTACAGCACAGAGGAGTACAGGCTGTAGTTGCTGATGATATATGACTTGGTCTAACGATTCAAGCCAGACCAAGTTAATTTACGCATCAGAAGAGGGGGGAATCGAAAAATATTGAAAATGTCTTTGTCCAAAAAGTAGCAGAAAAAAGCGCGAATAAATCGACGTATAATTCAGCACAAATGTCCGTCCTTGAGGCCGGCTTAGCACTCTGTACTTGGTGAACCAAAAATGCCAGCAAGAAACGAGGCAATACTGTTTGGTTGGCAGGCTTATGGTCGGATTTGAAGTTTACGCATGTTCGACATGTTCGCCCAACAAGCAGCGGTTTTCGTTTGTCAGTATTTTATCAACAAAATCATTAGAGGCAACAAAATGCACAGAAATAGTAAACCTGAGTAAATATTCTTTGCAAATTGTTTATTTATTTATTTCAACACGTAACCGATTTCAGAGAACTGGCAAATGTGCCAAAACATATGAACAAAAAGAAATCTGAAGAATGTGGTCATGGGTTGTGTGGGCCTGTTACTTCTCGGTTGCCCTGGCCGAGAAAGGGGGATAACCTCGGGGTACCCACCCGAAGTCTTTGGTTATAAAGCCAGACCTGTAAGATAACAGGACGGAGCTCAGAGTCCGCAGTCCATTGGGGGCCGATATCCAGTTAATTGGATCATACGCCCTTTGGATGGGGTCAAACGTCCAAGGTGCCTAATACACCTCAATACCCAATCGAACCGCTGATCACTGCCACAACCGGGAAGTTGTGTGTGGTTCGTACGTCTCCTCATGGCTGGTTTTGAATCAGGGTTTTGGCAACTCCCCTAGGTGAACTACCAGTGATCTACCAACCTGGTTATAGCCCCGGATATCCGCTTTCCTTCCTCTCACTTTGGTGGAAAACACCTCCGCCACGAGAAGGCAGTGAGTAGAGCTTGCTCAGCAGAGGCTGTTTGAGATGCTTGGTCGTATGGGAGCATTACGCGAGGTGTAAGGGAGTGATGACCGGTCACAATCCCAGACAACAACCACGAGCACATTGAGGCTCTCGAATGCCCTTTGTACAATACTACTACATTGGAAAAAGACGTTGAGGAAACCGGTGAATAGGAAAAAGTTGTTTACCTTTAGTTGTGGCGAAAGCACCGGAAAGCAATACTTCCAGTCAAGTCCGGAAGCAGGTCGATCGGCTTTATACCGAGTAAGGTTATTCAGATACGGAAAGAAATAAAAAAATGTCATCCTCAACAGATTCAACACAGACCTTCATGGGAAAAAATAGAGGTGACAAGCACCTGAGAGTTCACTTTCGGGACTGAGCTGTTCGAACTCAATCTGCCGTATGTGGTATTGCAAGCACAACAGTACTTATTAACAGATAATTCACCATGAAACGCACTAATCCACCTTACGTTTGGAGTATACGATCGGTAACGATAAACTTCGTTGGAGTTCTGTGCTACATACATACATGGTAAGGAACAACCACGAACCTCAACAGTAGCATGAAAACTTGGAACGACAATAAACACCTATACGCCCAACTCATCGAATGCTGAACATTTAGTGGTTGCGCAACCGAGCTCCTGGACGCAGATAAAGTACCCACGGGGCGCGCGCACACTCTGTACAAACCTGTATTTACGGCTAACCGCAAATGACTTATTTGGGCAAAAGGACACAAGGAAAACGGCAAACCTGTGGGCGGATGCTGGGTTCCGCACAAATGTCTAAATAAAACAGCTCGTCAAGCTCCCCTGTCCGAATCAATGCAATTTCATCGGTTAGATTGTTGCCTCTACAAATAAGTAAACAAGTACAAGTGAAAAAGAAGCGGACAGACGGAATGTTGCTACACAAAAGGGGATAGAATGTGGCAAAAAGAGAATTAGTAAGATCAGGGAATCCAAAAGCCTCAGTATGGTACGGGGTGAGTGTCTAGGGTTGCAACTGGTCGCCCTTCTCTTGCACCCCACGAAATGCTCCCATACGACCAAGCGTCTCGAAAAGCCTCTGCTGAGGAAGCTCTATTCACTGCCTTCTCGTGATGTAGGCGTTTCCCACCAAGGTGAGAGGACGAAAAACCGACATCCGAGGCTATGACCGGGTTGATGGACCACTGGTGATTTACCGCGGGGAGTTGGCCAAAACCCCTGATCTCAAACCAACCAAGATGTATACTAATCATGCACACACCTTCTTGGTCGTGATAATGTTCACCAGCTCAGCTGGTCATTGAGGTGTATTGGGCACCTTGGACGTTCGACTCCGTCCCAAGGGTGCGTGATCCGGTGAACTGGACACCGTACAAATTATGCGTAAACAGTGGTATTGGAGAACCGACAGGGTAAGATGTGTGACCTGGATTGGGGAGTAGCAGTCAGACAATTCGTTCATTCAAGTCAAGGAATGGCTTTATACACCTCGAGAGGTGGATATTCAGCAACCACATAACCGTAGTGTCAACAAAAAGTAGAAAAAAACAACAACAGTATAATACAGCAATTAAAGGGCGTGAAAAAGGGCGGCAACGTCAAAAACCAATGGTATACCAGGTTGTTTATGATGGAGTTAGTTTAGCGTTTGGCGCAGATTTCCTGCAACGAGTTTNGAAATCTGGCGAGATAAGAGCAATAGACCGCCTGTAAGCTTCAGTGCGTGTCTTTACAAGTTTGTGAGTGGAACGGGTGGATGAGTGAGAAAGGCACTGACTAAGGGCGGAATAAAGAGGATGGAAAATTTCAGAAAAAGTCTTGTTGGAGAATGTTTTACAGGACTTGATGTGATGTGTCACCATATACTGTACCAGATGTTCCCTGTGGTATGAGACTACAAACTGACAGAAATTTGAGGAATCGGGAAATGAGTCCGAGGTCCTTGTTCAAAAGACCAGGGAAGATAACAGGGGACCCATAAAACCAGTGACGCACGCAAAAACAAAACGCCTCATGAGATGGTTTGGAATGGAAAGTGATTTAAGACGTAAAACATAAAACGTGAGCCTCCTAAACTTTAGAAAAACGTCATTAACGTGGTCAGACCAGGTGAGGTTACGATTAAAAATAACGCCCAGGTATTTAACAGACGGTTGCCGTTCCATCTGGTCACTGAGGATAGATAAAGGCGGACTGGCGTTTGATAAATCATCATACTTTTGCCTTTTCGAAAAAGAAAAAATTACGTCATTTTTGGGGGTTCGTGCAGAGGTTCCTTTGTTGAGACCACTCAACTACTTCAGACACGTCTTCTTGTAGAGTCGTTTGAAATGATGAGTTGGGGTAGGGCAGTCTGAATATTATATCATCTGCATACTTGACGAGAAGAGAAGAATTTTTCACAGACATAGAGGAAATGTAAGCAGAAAATAGAAAAGGGGATAAAATAGAGCCGTGTTGTACGCCTTTTGAGGAGGGCAGCAGTGAAGATTTACGACCTTTGTAGCGTACGAACTGCTGACAGTTGAAGAAATAGTTGGCCAAGAGTTCAATCGCAGAAGGTTGAACTCCGCCCGAAGAGAGGGTATTTAACAAAGTTTGTCGATCAACTGTGTTGAAAGCATCACTGTAGTCAAGAAAACATATGCGTACAGCCTTGCTTTTCTTATCCAGGTTAGATAAAACAAAGTGGGACAGATAAGCAAGAGCATCCAGGGTACCGCGGGAATGGGTGTATGGACACTGGTTTGGGTCGCCAACATTGAGTTGTGTGGACGCGGTCTTAATGAGGAGCCTCTCAAGCACCTTCAAGACAACTGAGGTGCAGGCAGTGGGACGAAATTTGGAGAATCCTTTCTTCGGTACAGGGGTGATAGAGTCTATTCTCCAGCAGTCAGGTATACGTTGCTGCAAAATACAATCATTGAAAAGTTCACTCAGTACAAGGGAAAGGAAAGCAGCACATTCTTTCAGTACAGCGAGTGAGACTCCGTCGGGGCCGCAGGACTTGTGAGGATTTAATTAAACCAACTCTTGATAAATATGGACAGGTGCAACGCTGGAGACGGGATCAGTGGTGTTTATTTCATATNGGCAGCAGTGAAGATGTACGACCTTTGTGGAGTGTAGACCGCTGACGGTTAGAGAAATATTTGGTCAAGAGTTCAATCGTAGAAGGTTGAAGTCCGCCCGAAGAGACGGTATTTAACAAAGTTTGTCGATCAATTGTGTTGAAAGCATCCAGAAAACATATGCGTACAGTTTTGTTTTTCTTATCCAGGTTGGATAAAACATAGTGGGACAGATAAGCAAAGGTTATCCAGGGTACCACGGGAATAGGTGTATGCAAACTGGTTCGGGTCATCAACATTGAATTGTGTGGACAGGGTCTTAAGGAAGAGCCTCTCAAACACCCTCAAAACAATTGAGGCGAAATTTTGAGGATCCTTTCTTCGGTACATGGGTGATAGAGGCTATTCTCCAGCAATCGAGTATACGTTGCTGCAAAATACAATCATTGAAAAGTTCACTCAGGACAGCGGGTGAGACCACGGAGCCGCAGGACTTGCGAGGATTTAATTGAGCCAACTCTTGATAAATATCGACATGTGCAACGGTGGAGAAGGGATCAGTGGTGTTTATTTCATATTCATTAGGTAGAGCAGTGAGAGCGGTTCCACCGTTGATGAAACTGATTCAGACCGTCTATGCCCAGCGCAGCAGGTGAGCGGTGTGAGGATTTGATGCCAGAAATCCGCATGAAGGCTTGTCAGGTCTCACGACTACCTTTGTTGTCAAGCTGAGCATGGGAGTATAAACAGTATAAACAGTTTAGCTTTCGAAGTTCATCCCGGATGGATTCAGAAAGGGAGCGCACATCTTCGCGCTTATGCATTTTGAAGGCAGGCTCCTTTCTACGAGGGAGTTGTTTGAGGTGTGGGGAAGAGAATCGATCGGGACGAATACACATTGTCTCTGAGGGACAACAGACATCGGAACAAAAGTTTAAGTAGCTTGTTAATGGATCACATAAAACGGAAGGGTTAGGATCAGAAATTAATGTCGGAGTGTCTGATCATTTCCCTTAACATCGTGAGGTTTTCTGGAGGACGCTATCTTACTTGAAGCTTATGATCACGACTTCGAGTAAAGAGACAATGGTTCGTTCTGCTAAAGATGGTAGGGGAAAACTTCAACATAGAATGATCAGACATTCCAAGTGGGGGGACGGCGTTCTACAAGAAGTAAATTGGGTAGGTTGATAAAACCTAAATCCAGATGTGCGTCAAGCCTAGTGGGAAAGATAACAATGTTTTGAAAATCTAAGGTAATTAAGAAACCGGTATCGGAATTATTGAAGTCACCACAAATGATACAGACGGAAGTATCTACATACTCAATCAGTGCAGTTGAAAGAGAACCATAAAAATCATCAGGAACAAGAGATGAGCAAGAGGGTGCTATATACACATTTACAAGAATAAGTGACCGAGGAAAGCTTAAATGTCTGGGCTTAAATTGAATTGCTGATGCGTTTATATAACGTGTGGAATAAGAAAACACATTTTTGGTCAGATGATACCACTGATTTTTGACAAACGTGATGACACCACCTCCCCGTCGGGGATAAGAAACAAGACGATCGACACGATAGCTAGCGAATTCATCCAGATGTATTATTTCATCCTCAATTTCATTGTGAAGCCAACTTTCTTGTAGCATGATCACACCGAGTTGGACATATTCCCGTTGCTTGATTAAGCTGGTGAGATCGACCATATTTCCGATAAGAGATCGGACGTTAGAACTGAGAATGATAGGAACACAATCGGGAGATGTTTTGTTTCCGAAGAGCAACTTTCCAACCGGCTCGATGCTTCCTCGGATTTTTCGAAAGCTTTCTGAACGTCCGTTTGGTTTTATTCTTTATAGTCCTCCCAAAAGAGGTTGTCGATGCACATTTGGTCCATTTGATGGAATGAATGAAATCCCGGGTGTATTTGATCAAATTTGTCATTTCTAGCACAACAGTCGCCTTGTCAACCAAGGTAAAAATTCATGTGAATGATGCAAAGAAATCAGACACAGTTATGGTTATGCAGTGAACAATCCGATGACGGAAAAAGGGATAGCGCGGCCAAAATTCTCGATCACTGCCCGACTTTGTCAGCATTGACAGTGACATTCGTACTTTTCTGTTCCAATGTGAACTAAGTGTCAAGTACTATGAACAGCATATTATTAATAATAATAATGATAATAATGTGCTTTCTCTTATATCCCAAGCAACTTTCTGGAAAGTGGAAGCGACCTATCGGATGGCTGTCATAGAGAACAACGAAGTGATAAAGTTAAACGACCATACTTGTCTGTGATGAGGTAGCAAGCCATAGGGTCATGAGAAGCAAGCGTTACAATAGACGAGCTACAAGTAATTGCCCGGAGCTCACCGTTTCAATGAGACCTAGAGGCGTCATATCCGCAGAAGCGATTGAACATCGAAAATGCTTTTGAGGCTGGTAACCCGTTGATAGCTACTGATATTTAATGATAAGGAAACTGTATTGCTTACCACGTGCGGACAAGTAGAAACGCAGTATGGAACACAAACTTACCGGCAGATGGACAATAATACAATTGTAAGGCCAGATTACCAGCAAACGGTGCAATATGACCGGCACGGAACATGGTGGGCGGAGGGGGATTCATGCGTCGTTTGGCTTGCCAATCGGCGAATCCTTTGGCCGTCAATCGATGCGCTTTTGGCTCGCCCACCGAATCGTTGAACAGACCCAAAGCAGCCACCACCGGGAGAAGAGTTTCAGCGTGACCAAACCAAAAGGAGGCCTGCGGGAAGCCACCTATCGGCCTGTTGTGCATCAGAGGATCAGAACGATATCACACAGGGGCATAACAAATGCGAAAACGGGATGACGTGCCATTTTAAAAGGTGAGCACTGTTACAATTTCGTAGTCTACAGTATTAAAGTCATTCAAGGTTAAAAAATATGTACGACAGACATTATCGACAATGAACTGCATTTCCTACGGTGCCTGAACCATTGGAATTGCTATTCATCATGCTCCTCTGTTCTTTTGTTGTCAACGCCTGTTCATTGGAATGGCTACGAACGAATGGGAACGAGCTTAGTAACTATGGTGCGTTGTTCTCCAATATGCTCTGGGGGATTATTCCAACCATCACTCAGCAATAACAGCAACCACAACCAAAGAAACTGCCTCATGACGTGCTAACCTGACCCGCCACCAAATCAGGTTATTGCTCCGTCACCTCCACTTGTAGCATTCTGCTTCTCGCCAGTGTTGAATGGATATAACCGCAGAAGACTGACCGGTACTGGAAAAGCCAGTTGCACCATATTAACCGGCGTTGCAGATTGTGCACTGGTGAAACCGACTCATCCCCTTAAGTGATAGTTGGCTGCTAAAAGTAAGAAGTAAAGTAACGTCATCCACTCCGGTTGGTATATGCACAATCAGATAGTTTACATCCCGTTGAGAAAGAAAATGAGTTTAACCATCTACAGTTTGAACTGGCGGTGGACGAAATTGTTGTCAGTCGAATCCATCACAGTTACTTTCCTCTCCCTTGCGAACTGAGGGGAATTTCGAACATGGACTAGCACATATAGATCCGCTCAAACTTCACAGATTCACTTTACTGATACGCTCCTAAAAACGAGAACAAAATTATCACCAAGGGACGTATTTAGAAGAGGACGAAAACCGATACATTTCCTCCAACCGGGCTAATGGACAGATATGTACATAGAGAGTGCCGGTGTATCTGACGGACAAACAACCAATCAGAGACAGCATAGTAATGTGAACCAAACAAACATACCTATTACGGTGATCATTCAATTCTCGGTATAGTGACCAGCTGGACGTACCGGTGTGTGCACCAGTTGGAGCAGTTACAGCAGTACACTAAATGAATTTGCAGCATTGGACTGCACTGGAGAATATTGTATATATAACATTGCCAATCGGGTCACGTTAGAGTAAGATGTGATTTTTTATTAGGGAAAGCTAGTTCATCACTCGAATTGGCGAACCGCATCCTCGATGCAGTAATTATTGTGATCTCTGACTGTTTCTAATATCATCTCGATTTCACGGGCGAATGAATGCAACATGGATACATCCTTAAAGAATAGCACATGTTCGGGCGTGTTAAAACTAAAAACGAATAAACAAGTGAAATTCGAGACATGAGAACGAATGTCAATCACCGGGAAGGGGAGGGAACGATGTGCAAACAAACAGATGGATCGACGTGGTGTCTATCACATCACTGTGACAAACAGAACAACTGGCACGGAATGCGTGATACATGATGGGCCGACTTTTCAAGTGAACAGTCCCTCCCTCCAGAGTGTTTTCATATGTGAACAGGAGAGATGTAGCGAATGATGAAAACGTCGCAGGTGTTAATCAGTTAGCGTGTGCTGTGGAAAAGAGATTATAAAACGATCTAAATTAACACATTAACATAATAACATAACATAACATTAACATAATTTCAAATTCTGCTTTGCACTACACCAGAACGAAAAAGGGCTTGATGAAAAAATGGCGAGGTGAAGGAAATAAGCTTTACAATCGTGATAGAAACTCGTATTTCTCTCTTTCTCTCTCGGTCTAATGTCTATTCGACGCGAAGGCACTTGGTTATCCACGGGCAGATGAGATCGTGTCTGAGCCACTGGGCACAGCCAGGATTTGCTCCGTCCCCTTCCGCAGCGAATGAGATGCTATCAATTCACCCTCAGTATAACCAACAAAATCGAAATAGATCATGCTCGAATAACGATTTGCCGTGGAACGTAGGTCCAGAATCATGATTCACGTGTTAGCCAATTAGCCCAGCAGACTGGGCAATTATAAAGCACTGCCCAAGAATTCACCATGCATCTTAAAGCATGACTGTCTATACTTGAGCGTTGCTTGAAAACCAAGCAGAGTAGAAAGAACTGGTTGTTTTGGCCGAAAATGATTGAACTAACAACCCGGGAGAACAATATAAAAATGCAACTGATGATATTCTGCACAGAGATTTCACGAGGGCTGCATAGGAAAGCTGTGATGGACCGAACCGGTAGCAGACACGTCATGGGCATGTGCATCCTTGGTGGTTTGGACATTCACTGAATGTGTCAACCTCAGCTCCAACCCACCCACCCATACATGGCCGTTCGCATAAGGATCTAATATTAACTTGAGGTGGCTGAGAAGGAGAAGGCCTGGGACAGGATGCGGAAATACACACAAACACACGGACGACTCACAGTTGACCCTTGTGCGTCTTGTACAGGAGTGCAGCACGTCTGATCTGGTCGAGCATCTCTCCGATGAGCGGGCACGACTGGACGTAGTTCAACTCATACCCGTAGGACTTGAGCCAATAGTGCTGCGGTTAGGTAAGCGCACGTGCGCACGTACCCGGATGAAATAGAGTGAGTGTTGGGGAGTTGAGTTAACAAGCACGCAAGCGGCTCCGTGATAAACAGCGGTGAAAAATTCGACATATTTGGAAGAGATGAGTTGAAAGAAATTATTTAAAGGAATAGGACAGATTGTGACCGAGTACTGTACGAAAGATAAATCACATTGGATTGAGAAAGAGTTGGCATCAACAATCACTTTTCATTGCTCCTCAAATTCTAGAATACAGACATTATTTCTGGGGACAAAAGATCCATCTTTCTTGACCCTAATTAGACCCTTGACTGTACTCTCGCTCTGACTTTCGTTGAACGCTGTACAGCAAAAGTTCATTGGTCAAGTACCGTCAACTACCAAGCATCATACTGTTTTCGCTTTGCCCCTGCAAAGGATAGCTTAACCGACGTTGGCAAGCAGATTTCGACGAGCCAAGCTCGCTCAAATTGAAACTACACAAACCTAGTGGCGCAATCCGAATGCTGCTCGACAGAGTTTGAAAGCGTTGTCCTCACGGTGAGCGAAAAACCCTAGAGTTTACTGATCATTAGACAACAATTTGTCAACGAAAAAGGGTTATCCGTAGGGGGAGGAAAAATTTAATTTAATTTAAGCTAATCTGGGCGTATTTATTGCAGGCGTCACACTCACTTTCAAATCAGCCATGTATTCGTAGACTGGGAGCTCACTGGGTCGAAGAAAATCACACCAGGGAGAACGTTGTTTTAAGGGGCTGGTTTCGGCAGCCACTTGGAATGAACAAATCGAGTAAATCTCGTGCACGTCATCTACAGAAGAAGCATGTAATGGGAGCGCATTTAGAAGAAGCAACAGCCGTGTGCGTACACATGATTGTAACTCCGTCCTCAATGGCGCAAATCACCCACACAACAGCTCGAAAAGCTAGCTAGTTCCATCAGTAGCACCCCATTTCTGAATCAAAACATTATCATTTATCATTACGTATGTTTTGCTCGCCTCGAGTAAAATCGTTTTCATGACAATGTGCATTACTTCACATGTGGATGACAAACAAATCGCTCCAAATTTGTGTTGGTGATTTGTAAACATTATGATTGGACAAACTTAAAAATAGCGTACAATACAATCTGTGGCACAGTTTAATTTTTTTACAAGTACGCGATGGCTAAGCTGGAAACTATTTTGGTTGATCGCACCTCGCTGCGACCCGCTTATCCCGGTTGTTAGCTGTTTTATCATGCTATGGAAAAATATGAAGCGAGTAGCTCAATTCACCAGCTTCCTACGCATTTCCAACATATCTGTGGTACTCCCTCAGTTTTGCTTAGCCTAGCTTATCATTGGAAGCGTTAGGTTTCGCCGTGACAGCAACATACAACCCCAGACCAAGCGATAATCCGCTCGCTACATTTCACTCATGTTCCTCGTGTGCATATGCGCCCGGACACAGACAGCTTTCAATCAAGGCGTGGCGCTTCGGTGACTTTTGCAATCCGGAGGCCTGTGTCTCAGATAGGCAATTCACATGGATTGCTTCCATCCTCCGATCTTTTGGTTTCTTCTGACTTCGAAGAGCTGCTTATCTCCTAAATACGATCGTGGGCTGGGGAATTCAGCCTTGATACACTTATCACAGCCACGGGTAAACTAATAAGCAGAGATGAACTGGAGTCCTGATCAATTTAAGAGAGATGAGGCAGCTAACCAATTGCTTACAGCCATGGTCCGCAGATGGCCTGTGTGAGTGGAGTAAGACACGGTCCGTTTTGATGTGAAGAGTAATCAATAAGCCGTGTTGAGAGGCCTAGGTTTCCTGTACGCGAGAAACGGGTGGTGGTGTTGGCGTGTCACAATGATAGACCCTATCCGTTCTTGCAGCTTTTTCACAACTTCATTCGTGGGGTTGATACGGGAACCGTTCATCAGAAACCACTGGCCCAGATAGAGTCGCCAAGTCAAGTCGAGCTGTAGTTTATAGACCAAGGTGAATTTTCAACACCGGATTTCGAATACTCCAGCTTCCAGATATAGTAACTTCTGAACAATCGAACTACCTGCAACATGCCTCCGCGACGCGTATGGTGAAAAAGGATACTCCATAGAGAAAAACTAACCATACCGGGCTCTCACTCATCTGGTTCCTTATCGACCGCGGATGGAGCCTTTCGAATAGTTCATTCAGTGACCATCTCCACCGAATCTACACTGAATAAAGATACCGTATTTGATGAAGAATCCATTTCCTTTCCGCGATTTGGGAGATACCAACGGTGGGAGAAGAACGTCTTCAATTTCTACGAAAGTACTTCTCACAGATACAAACAATAAGCTGTCATCCACGGCCCTCACCTTATAGAACCGGTATTTGTATCCGCGGAAATGAACTTAGGTCACTATCTGCGTATCACGAGAGATATTTTTACAATGACGGAACACCACTATACTCCATCACGACATTGAGAAACGGGCTCAACAAAATAGATGCAATCAATTGGAAGACGCGGAGCCACTTCTTGTTCCTCAAAATCACGCGACCTGATTCCCCTGGACTTCTTCATCATCACCGGAAAGCGAGATAAAGTGAAGCACACATCACTGATCGCTGCCGAGCTCACAATGTACAGAAATAAGGTGATAAAGTAAAAGATGAAGAGGGATTGGGCCTGATTGGACGGCGGAAAACAACGTGAACCTCTATGGTCAACACAGAGAGTACACAATCTAACTGTGCATACACATCTTTATAAGCATTCTGACCTGATAAGAAATGACAACAAGAACGCCAGTGCTGTCGGTTTGCTGTCATATCCTTCAGTGTTTCCAACCAACCAGTTGTGGAGTCTTTCGGATTCCAACCTGGAAGGCGCGTGACACCTACTCTACCTAATGGCTGTGCATTTCTTCATCCTTCGTCTCAAAGTCATCTGTTGACCTCCACGTGGTTTCCTCCAGCCAGGAGCGACTACATTGAATAAAGCGCGGTGCGGCATACACAGTAATCTGAATTCGATGAGCAAACAGGTTAACCCTGATAGACTCCCAAACACACGACATCTTACCTCCAGATTATTAACCCGTTCGTTCCATCCCGTAGGAGCTAAACTACGTAAACACTGATAATCGAAAACTTCTAGTTGATGAATATTTTCTACCCGAGAATTCAAGGTCTCAAGACCATAAAGCAGAACTGAACGAACGGTAGCGTAAAATACACGATCTTTCAAATTCGGTGAAACGTCGCGTCTACGCCAAAGGTGTTACAGTCCTGAGTATGCTGCTTGAGACTTGGAAATGCGAATGCAACAGAAGATCAGGAATTGATTGCTCAGCTGCAATTATTCCTTGCCATGCACAGAAGGGTGTTGTTAGTAGGGGACTTCAACATGCCAGAAATCAACTGGAATAGAAACAGAGCACCGGCAGGTACCGGAGGTGGACTGCTTCTACAGTGGCTACATCAACACCCGTTATCACAACACATGCGACAAGCTACCCGGTTTAGAGCAAATGACAGGCCGTCCATACTGGATCTAGTGACCAAGAGACTAACGCGACTAGTACTAGAAAGCAGACACCAAACCAGCCGCCAAACTAAGGAGGCGATATGGCAAAATCAAGCTGGACGAACTGGCCAGAGTGGCGCAGGATATAAACAGGGTACCCAACCCAGTCGATGCATCTCTGGAAACCAGATGGAGCCATATCAATGCAGGACTACTACTCACGGACTGGTTCGCGCCCTTGGTTCCGTTAAGAAAGAAGCAACGTCCTCCTTGGTGGAAGGCAAATATAGATAGAGCTATATCCATTCGTGGAAGGCGGTGGGCAGTCTATAAATTGTATGGCACCCATCATTCGTGGAATGGTTACAAACCAGCGCGCAACTATGCACAGAAAGTGCAAAGGGAGGATAAATACCAATTCGAGAGAAACTTGGCGCAAAACGTCAAGCGAAATCCTAAGTGTTTCTACGCAGGTGGTCAATCTAAACGAAACACTCATGAAACGGTTGGTACCCTAGAATCGTCAACCGGAGAATTAGCAGTGAGTGAAGGCGATAGAGCACATATCCTGTTACAGTTCTTCAAAAGCACGTAGAGGATCCCCAGGGTGACGGATAACCTTCCATCAATCGAGGGTAACAGCACCATGTCCCCAATCACTGTGTAAATCCAGAATGTGCAGCGGGAGTTGATCGGGTTCAATAGGTTTAAGGTGGCGGGGTCCGACGGAATTCACCCAGCGATTGTACAACCGCTGGCTGACGTCATAGTGGGACCGATTTTCGAGTTATTTAAAGAGTCGCTTAGACTGGGAACTGTCCCGAATGACTGGCGCAAAGCCACAGGAGTGGCAATACACAAGTCTGCATCCCGGCAAAAATTACAGACCAGTTAGTAAAAAGATGAGCCGAACAATGGGACCTACCACTAACCGTCTCGAAATGTCAGATACTGACGACCAGAACTGAGGAAGAAATAGAAGGGGGTCTGTCGATACAAAGGGTGCACGAGGCAAAGGATCTAGGCATAATGGTAGCGGGGGATTTCAAACCAAGCACCCAGTGTGTGAAGGCCGCAAACAAAGCCAGGGGACAACTGTTTCGTCTATGCGCAACCATGGTGTGCAGAAGACCTGAGGTATTTGTCCCCCCCATACAAACACATCGTCCTTCCGCATCTGGAATATTGTGTGCAGGCTTGGGCTCCGTTCTTTCGAAAGCACGTCGATACCTAAGAGGTTTTAACGTCTAGCCACGTGGATGATAGCTGGGCAACAGGGGAAAAGCTATGAACAGCAGCTCCGAGATTTAAATCAGTTCTCCCTCAAAGCGGAGGTGGATGAGAGGAGACCTCATCGAGACATCTAAGATCGTCAAGGGTATATCAGGCCTTAGGTTTGACGACCTGTCATTGTGGGTTCCGCATAGAGGCACGTGGGGACATAACTTACGTTTGCAACGAAGCCACTCTAGGCTGCAACTGAGGGCAACATTTTTTACTAACGGGGTAATCCTGTTGTGGAACCGGTTGCCGCTGACAGTGGTAAGCTGCAGTACTGTAGATGAGTTTAAAAAGGCACTTGATAAGTGTTGGATAGCGGTTTTCCCTGAGGTAAGTGTTTAGTACCATCTATAACCTAACCACAAAGCATTTGATACTGCACCACACTATTCTGCCTTTCAGAAAAATTGCATATCGAAGTGTTGGAAGCCAAGGAAACTCGCCGACAACACACGAATCCGGACGCTCGATTGGCAAGAGCCACAAATCGTCCTGTGAGAACTGAACAGCACTGAACTCGTTTTTGTGCACAACTTTGAACGTTCGTATTGTTATCACCATAATGAAACAAGCAGCGCTCCAAACTAAGTGCTCGTTATTTCAGTGAAGAGGACAAAAATAGAATTGAACGAGCACACAAACTGGGATTTTCCATATCAAATCTTTCCCAATGCTTTAACTTTAACAAAAGCACGTTTTACAGGATGGAAAAACAACAACCAGAACAGCTTGTGGAGGCCGAAAACTGAGTACATCTAAACAGGAAGACGACTGCAGGTGCGGCACCAAAATAACCACGGGTGGGAAGAGCATTGTATAACAGAAAAGTAAAAACAGCAGAAAATCAATCAGTTTCGGGTGGATGTAATAGGGCTGATTATCTACAGCATTCTCCGTTGCCCAGTTCCATGAATTCAGACAGAAACACTTACCTGAACTAAATTCTGTTGTGGACAAAAGATGACGCGACATAACATCATTGGCAACGCGTTGAACTTCCGGTCCATCGCGAAATCGTTTATACTCGAACACGCTTGATTTGTTCGACTCAATCTCTTTCACATAGCGCTTGCAATAATCAAAGAACCGTAATAGTTTATCCGACTCCTGAATAAATTCGTAGCGTTTCGCTATCAACTCCGGTGGCATCTGACAATTGTCTGGATTCCCATGTTGTCCACAGTTCCCTCCGGCATAGTTTGAATCCAACGGGTCTAAACCGGCAAACTGAGCAAAAAATAATGAGAAAATTTCACACTAATGTGAATAGAACATGATTTTGAGGGCATGAGATGATGGAACGGCGGAGGGAATACGTGCAAAGCAACGGGTGCGAAAAGGTGTCAGATGCATTTTGAATCATGACAACAATATCGATATTGGGGACGTGACCGAGAGTATCATTTGCTTGTCTTGAGGTAAGAAACCGATTAGCGCTCAAAAGCACATGACAGCAACAAAAAACATGGGAACGAATGAGAGGAATCAGATGTCGTGAAATAAGTGGTCTATCAGTGTTCTTGCACCCCGCGTAATGCTCCCATACGACCAAGCATCTCAAACAGCCTCTGCTGAGCAAGCTCTACTC